CTATTTCTCCCAAACAGCCCTTGGCTAAAGGGAGAGGGTTTTAGAGTCTTTCAAGAGCAGCTCAGCTCTGCTGCTGTGGATGTTTTCCTTGCTGGGGTGGAGGACCAAGTGCAGAGGGAGTGACCCCGCTCCTCCCTGCCATGTGCCAGGGGAAGCATCACTGGCGGAAGGAGTGGGATGGCCAGGACCCAGGTCCCATGTGTGGGCTGAATCCCAGCTCTGCTTAATCAGCAAAGGACCACATTAGCCAGGGGCTACCTGTGCCATGCAGGTTGGAAGGTGCATGATAATGAGCTGGGACCTGAGCAGATGAGGAAGCATAGGCTGCTAACGAGGTTATGCCTGAAGCAACTCCAGCAGCCCCTCGTTAGTCTATTTATACCGAAGCCCTGGTGATGTGCCGTTAGGTGGGGGTGGCACTGGCACTCACAGTAATGGATTTCTTCCGGCACACAGACTGACAGGGACTCCAGGCAGGCACCAGCCTCAATAAATCAGAGAAGGGAGAACTGGGCTAAAATGATAATCAGCCCTGATGTGATCTGACTGTGCCAGCTTGTCTCCCGTTTGGGCTAATTGAAAGGTTCTGCTTAGGGCCACGGTGCTGGCAGCCATCAGTTGGTAAAAGATTTCTGTTTGGTGCAAAGTGCCAGAAGAAGATGCTGGAGAGAAACATGTTTCCATCATTGCAGCAGGGACCAAATCTGTTCATTTCCCTCGTTTTCGTAAGTTGGAAGTACAAACTCATAGCTTGTGTCTTCTAGAAGCAAGTCTCATCTCTTCCAGCTTCCCTGCAGCTTTTCATGTGCTTACTTTTCCTCGTGCCTGGGCTGTTCCAGGAGCAAACGTTTTCTTTGTCACCTTTGTGTGGTGTTTGGGGGCCACCATGGGCATGAACTCCTGGCCCAGGTGACGGATTTTAATAGAAAAAGGGGAGGCTCAGGTCCCTGCTCCAAGATGGAGTGACTGTCCCATCTAGGAAGCCATTCCAAGAGCTTTTGCTGGTAAACTAGAGATCCCGGAGTTGATGGATGTTGGCTTGGATAAGGACACTTGCTGGCTTGTGGCTTTTGAGCCCTGTCCTGCTATCCAGGCAAATTACAGCTTGTATAATTAATTGTTTGTTTTGCAGTTCTGCTGGTGCCTACGTGCGGAGTCACCAGGAGCTCAGGCTAGATCTCAGCTCCAAAATAGTGGTCTCCTTCACTTTGCTGCTGAGAACTGTCTTTCCTGGATGACAGCAGATAGATAGAAATATCAGACGGGTCAAATCCTCTCTGCAAAAATACCCTTTGTGCCGGTGCAAGCTCCTTGTGTGGACAGAGTACTTGGTTTTCTGTGCTGACTGGGCAGCTTCCTGAGCCTGAAAGTTCAGCTTGGCCGACTCTCCAGTGGTTAAACACGGGGGTAGCGTGGGCACTGTGGCGTGGGGGACAGGGCCTCCATTCAGTGCTCGGTGGAGCATTTGCTAAACATCAGTTCTCCCAAACAAGAGCTCTGTTGTACCCCAGTTCTCAGTCTGTCTCATCTGCATAAACTTTGCTAAAACTTCTAACATCTCCAAGCTTGCTGAATACTTACAAGATGAACTACCTCCTGATAGCTATTTTGATGGCATTACTGTATTACAGAATGATGGTTTTTTTACAAGAGCTATGGTTTTTTTTCTGTGGGAGATGTTTCCTTGGAATGGTGACCTCAGGTCTGTCTCATTGTGCATGTTGATGGTGGCTCCTGTGTGGTTGGCTCTACAGTAGCCGGAGTTGTTGTCCGTGTGTTGGTGCTCCACTGTCCATCTCCAGCTCTGTGAGCTGGCTGTGATCAGGGCTGTGGGGCAGCAGGAGCTGGGGAGGTACTGAGGTCTCCAAGCCACATGTTGGGGCACCTTCCTCCCCCGAGTCCCACCGCAAGGTGGGTTCTTCTGTGTAGCAATCTCAGAGCTGCCTCCCTGCAGCACACCATGGGGTGCCTAGCCTAGCAGCCCCCAAATGTCAGTGCCTCAGGAAGGAGTCTAAAATCAAGCAAGCTTGTAAGTTCTTCTCTAGGCACTGTCCTAGCCTTTAGGGTTTTCCTGGTTTTATAATTAATAGGTTTTAATTAACATTTCTTGCCTGAATTATGGCCCTGTAAGCCCATGAAGAATTTCAGTGTCCGCAATATCCTGCAGTAAGGAGTTTAGCAGCTCACCTACATATTGCTGAAGAACAGCCAGCTTTTATTTGTTCTGAACCTACCTCCCAAGCTGTTAGCTTTGCCTCACCGCAGCCTTGTGCTCCCCATCTCACTCCTTCCCATCACTGGATCCAGAGGGATGCTGTCTGGTACACTAGAGAAGACACTTGAGAAATCTGACTCTTTTCCTATAAAAAAGTAGCATGGGGAGTATTAATTGGTGCTGAGTTCTCCCTGTGTGAGAGTTTCCTTTCAGGCTTACACTGGGCAATTATTAGGTTCTTGAAGGACACTGCATCTTAAGACTATCTTGTTGGGTCAGTGCTTTAAGTGAGACTCTAGTGATACAGGACCCTTGCCTTCACTGTTCTTCACAAGGAGCTGGGAAAGTCCTGAGAAGCAGCTGGAGCACTGGTTATGGATTTTGCCATCTGGGAAGCTTTGTAGGCCCTGTTGTGGCACACAGTCATAGCTGTGTATATGGCTGCCTTGTAGTTGTGCTGTGACTGCCTGGTTCATCTGTGCAGCCTGGTTGTTGTGGGTGTGAGAGCTAAATGAGATTCGCAGTGGAAGGCAGAGTGGCCTTTCCTTCTCTTCTTCTGGAGCCATTGGTTTCCAGGAAGCCGTGCGTGCAGGCTCTGCTGCGTGCCTTTCTCTGGTCTACAGGGAATGGAAGAGGAGGAGGAGATGCTGCCGGGAGTTTATAGCTGTTTCCTGTCTTGTCTGAGCTCTTGTCCCCTCTGAGGCGGTGGGCTGGGGCTGCTGGTCTTCAGACTTGCAGCTCTTTGTGTCTGTGCCAGGAACAACCCAGCAGCAAAGTGAAATTGCAGCTCCTTCCTTGCCCCCTCACTCAGACGGAGCAGCCGGTGAAAGGAAACAGGGGAATGAGTTACAGTAATAGGTTTAGCAGATGGCAGGGGAAAAACAACAGTTATTTCCATCAGCACGAGGGTGCCATGCCCACCTGCTGATCTCCAGGGCGCTCATCTGGCCTTGCTTCACCTCCCTTCCCTGCCGTACCACTGAGCTGGGGTAAATTTAATGGGGCTTATTGATAAGCTCTGATTTAGCTCTGCAATGCGGTCTCTGTTTAGAGATGTCTTTGGGATGCTCTGAACAATAGATTCCTCCATTAGTCTCTGTACCTGGGACATGATATTCAGGTCTTTCCACAGTTCTATGGTCTTAACAGATAGTTTCCATTTTCTAGATAACAATATCCCATTTGTTTCTAGTCCATCTTTGTTGCATTTTATTGATAGCTCCATGGGTGACTACCAGAGTTTTAAGGTGTGAAGGGAAGGGGGGACCGGGAGGATAAGGCACTGTGAGCAGAACACATTGCCAGGATGGGTGGACAGTCTTTGAAGGCAGCCAAGTCAAGGCATCACCCCATCGCTCTAGGGGAATACGGTGTCTGCAGTAATTATGGACTGAAAATGCAGATAAGCTTGAAAGAGAACAAAGCGTAGCCCAGCTCTGGCTGGCTTTCTTGCTGAGCGTGGAAGGATTTCTCTGCTTGGCCTTTCTAACCAGTGGTCAGGCAAATCGAAGCCTCAGGAGGGTCCCTTTACCACCAGATGAATGTTTTCCTCCTTGGAAGCTCCAGTGCAACCTCTGTGCTTGTTACTTTCCCTGGAAATAACAAGGATTGATGTGTTTCTCTGGGTACTAGAATATTTTATCTTAGCCAGATGGTCCTGATCGGTCACGCGTGTAGTCTGAGGAGCGGGGAAGGCAGTCTCCTCCTAAGTGAATGGGGAGCAGGTTACCATCACCCCACACTACCAGAAGCATTTCAAGGCCACAGCAGCAAATTACATGAAAGTGTTGAGAGCCCTTTTGTGGTGACGTGGACCACAGTGGTTGGGCTGGGGACAGGGCTGGTGCATGTGTTTGGGTTTCAGGCTGGTTGGGTGTCTTGTGTCTTCACCCAGGATTTTTTGAGGCTTTTCTGGGCACATATTTTCCTTGATTTGGTGTTTGTTTTTCGATCATGAAATGCCCCAAATTTCCTTGTGCCTGAAGACAGTTGTGCTTGTGCCCTGGGTTTGAGGCTATTCAGCAACCGTGTTTCTTGGCAATATTCAAATAAGAGAAGGGACTCAGGACCTGTGGTTTTTAACCCATCTCACCAGCCATGTGGCCAGTACTGGCCATAGCGAGAGGGCTTGGTCTGAAGCTACTTCATTGTCTCCTCATAACCACCAATAGCTCCTGCTTGCTGTGTCCTGGAGGCACTTTTTCTGCTGCACAGCGCTGGTGTTCATCCTCTTTACAACACTTTAATGACTTGTCCTGTTTTGGGGTATAAATGTTTGCCCCCTCCCTAACCACTCCCCATCCTTGTCCCTGAATGAGGCATGGGACGTGGAGGAACTTCAGTATTTCCCTCTTTGTCTATCTTCAAAGTGGTGCCCACTTCTGTGGGGGCTGTGGTCTGTGCTGGGAGCACTTTTTGTGATTTGGGCTTTCCCAGTTCTTGGCTTTGCTGCCAGATTGTCTCAATCCACCTGCCTTTGCCAAGTGATGTGGTGGGAGCTGTGGCTGTCAGACCAAGCCACTGAGGAGGCCAGGCCAGCAACTGAACCTCACCCTGGGAAAGACAAAATCATTAAATTACTAAATGAAGGGGGGAGAGGTGGGCTGTTTGGAAGGTGGGTGATGCCCCATGTCACCCTTGGGGACATTAGCAGGTTGAGGGAGGTCAACAGCACTGCCGGGGTGCTTTCCACAGCCCTGCTGTGCTTTCCTGTGCAGGTTTGTCATTTGTCCAACAACCCAACTGCCCCCATCCCTCTGCTGACACTCTTCCTTCTCTTTTTCAGGGACCCTATTGGAAAGAAGAAGTCTGGTAAGGACTCTTTTCCTCTCTGCCTGTTGCACCAGCTCCTCTTTTCACCCCCCAGCCATGGTCCCCTGGAGTGGGGCAACGGCCTGGCCCCATGACGGGCCAACCCACAGGGTGTGGGACTCCTCAACATGGCATCCCCCCTCCATCCACACAAGGTTTCAACTGCAGCCTCCAAGTCCCTGTCCCATGTCTCCCCGCACCTCCCATGGTGTTCCCAAAGGTGGGACAGATGCCTGCAGCTCTCCAAGTTGCGCTGGCCTCCCCATTCACTTGATAACCGAGTCGTTGCCACCATTGCTGCCACCCCCCTGTTCATTTCCCTCCCCACCTCATGCCTCCTCTCCCATCATTTTGTTCCTCCATCAGGGTTTATCCAGAGAACGGCCTCTTTCCTGCAGAGAGGTAGTAACAGCCGCTTGCTACCTGGCCCTTGCTCTCGCTTTGCCTTTTGCCGGGGGGACACCTGCTCGGGCTGGGTGGGCAAGCCCCTTGCAAGAAGCTGTCACGTCCCCCATAGCTTTCTGTGGTGGCTGGTGGACACGAGGCAGCAGTGGAGAGGAGGTACGGCAGGCTGGGACTGGCGCTTGGCTGTCAGTACAGCTCCACACGCAGGGGCTGCGTCACAGGGCTTGGGTGAAGGGCAGGGCTTGGTCTGCAGCCAGGAGGATGGAGATGCAAAATTTCCCAAGTCTGGAGGAGGGTCTGAGCTGCAGGGTGGTCAGCATCAGGTTGGAAGTCTCCCAGTGCAGAGGTTCATTCTGCACTGATTGCACCAGCTGGGACCTTTCAGGTGGACATTTGGGTCTGGATACTCTACCCCTGCTTCTCAAGAGAGGGGAACATCTCTGAAAGACCATCTAGTTGGTGTGGTTTAGCAGTTGTCTGAGCTTTCCAGAAAGAGGAGAAGGAGAGAGGAGGGAAGGGCCTTCAGCCTGTGGAGTAGGGAGGGCATCTTTCAGCTACTGGTGCTGCATAAGGTATAAAAATAGCACAGGGGTCTTTGGGAAGGAAGGTCTGAGTCTTGGCTGGATGGAGGTTCTGTTGAAATAGGTTGTGCAAAGGTTTTTGGCCTGAGAGTTGGGACTGCCATAAGCTGGTAAGCAATTTCACTTGTAGATGAGTGGGTTCCTCTTATAGTAGGAAGAAACCCTCCTCTTTAGGGTTGAGGAGAAGAGGAGGAAAAATTCTGCTGCATAACTCAGTTCTTTGAGGGCAGGAATCAATTTAAGGATGCCGGCAGGTAGAGAAGGAGGAACTTTTCTCCTCTTTGTGTTCACAGCTTCATCTTCCTTCCCGCTGCAGGTTTATGGGCAGCTTTGCTCCACCGTCCTGTTGGCCTGGTGGGTTTATATGTGACACGGGGATGTTGCTGAGGTCAAAGAGGAGATGCTCTTTGGGATGCTGTTTGCTCGGCACCATTGAGATGGAGGGAACAGGGGGACGTTGGATAACATCCAAGGCAGAGCCTGCTCTGGCAGGGCAGGCACCTGGCACTTGTGTGGTAGCCATCAGGGAAAGATGTTTGTGTGCAGTGACATTACAAAGGGCTGATGACTCGTGCCAGACTTGTTCAGAGGCTCCTCTCACTGTCGTGCATTTTCTGGCAGCAGAAGCAGAGCTCAGTTCTGCTGCTGTCACCCTGAATCCTCTTCCTCTTTGTGGGAAGCTCTTGATGGTTCATCGGTTCCTCAAGCCAGGCCTGTTTTGAGGTAACAAATATGCAGCAAGGCCCCCTTTCAATAGGGGACCTCCCTGAGGAGGGGGCAAGCAATAGCTGCTAACAAACAAAAGTGTTAAGAATTGTTTCCCAATTGCTTGTTTCTCCCAGCATTGCCAGAGAGGGGGTGAGCTGCTCTTCAGGAGAGCCTTGGAAAGAGCTCCCGAGCTCCTGGCACAGCAAGCCCTGTTTTGAAATGGGATTTAAGCAAACACTGAGATACGAAGTGGGTTAAAGTGCTGCCTGCCCTCAGCCTCCTGTGGTGGCCAAGAGACTCAAGTGACATTTGCAGTTGCGAGGAGGGCCTGGAGATAAACTCTGCTTCATCTGCTGAGGTTTTTTACCAGTATTTGTAATCCCACGTGTCTGAGCCTTTGGCACGGGCCCAGGCTCCATACAGCCTGCAGTCTGAAGAGGGGTGGATTATTCCCCAGACTCTGGGACTCTGAAGACTGACTTGGCTACTGATTTAGGTACATCTAAAAGTAGTCATCGTATCAGTCTCCAAGACTGTTTTGAGCGTTTCTATTCACTCCTCTCGCAGTTCAACAGAAAGCAGAGATGGAGAGTCATGGGTTTGTTGTGGCATTGACAGTGCAGGGGAACCTGAAACTGTCTCCAGAGCTTATATTTGGGAGGAGCTGCCCAAGGAGGCTGGCAGAGACCTCCAATATCCCCCTGCCAGTTTCATTTTAGATGCTTTCTTGTGTGGCCACATCCCTTTTACTTTGCTATGTAGTTGTGCCTGCAATGGCTTCGAGACCCCGAACCACAGTATTTGGTCTAATGAGGGACAAGGAAAACACAGCTCTCATATCCTACAGCAGCCATAGGAGGGCCTTTCTAAAACGCCGCTGGTGAATGGTATTTCCATGTGATTATTTTCCAGTACTGGAAAAATCCCTGGAGAGATGAGGGGGCTTGCAAAGAGTACAGCACAACATCTAGTGCCCATCTTACATGAGAGCAGGAAGAAACTCACTTCTGCAGTACTGATCTTCACAAATTCATCAGGTCTGGGAGAGGAGGGGCTGTCCTGAGATCATGGGACAGTTTAGCATAGGCCAGAGGACTAGGAGGAAGAAACTTTATCCAAAGATGGATAAAGCATGACATTTTTGTAAGGTGCATTAGGCAGGGGTTAGACTGTACAGCAAGGGCGGGTTTCAAAAGTGAATACCTGTGCCCCCTCTTTTATTTCAGTCCTGAGTTCTTTGGTTCCCTCTAGAGGCACCAGTGTCCAAGCCCTGTAAGAAAGTCCTCACTTTTGGCACTGATACTGCAAAGCCCAAAATTGGAAAGGCTGGAAATGTGACAAGTGGCCACATATCTGTGAGATTTCCTACCTGGTTTTATACGTCTCAGCCCTTTGGGTGAACGGCCAAGTTTCTGGTCAAACAAAATCTGCAGAGATTGATGGGCTGACCCATCACTCGTATGTGACGTGTCTTGAGAGCAAGGTCACTGCATTGAGGGGTCCTTGGGTTGGTAGCTGGTTTGTCCACTGCCTGGAGGCAGCTTCTCCCTGGCCCTGCCTGCAGAGCTGAGTGTGTCTCCCTGCTGGCTCTCCTGCATCCACAGCAAGCATCGGTTCTGCAGGTCCACTCCAAGGACCTCAGCGGTCTCTTGACTCAATCCCTTCTCTAAACCACATTTGTGTCAGTCTCACAAATGAGGGGTGTTCAGGATGCACAGTCTGTTCTCCTGCCTACAGCTGTCTGCAAAACTCTCTCTCTTGTGGGCTCTGGACTGTGCTAACGCTTCCTCCCCTCCCCAGCTGCAGGGCTTTAGTACTGGCTCTCATCTTAGATGGTAAGGTTTACACCATTGCTATTTTTAAGAGACTAATTCTGTCCATAAGTATGATGTTTTGTTGTTACCTTGAGTATGTATTTTTGTGGTGAGGGCAATTATGCCAGGTGAAGACAATCCTGAAATTAACTCCTACTTCTTCCTCCAAGCTCAGTTTACCACTTCTGTTGCTGGTCTAATAGGTACGTTGGAGGACCCAGAATTGCCTGCTGAAACTACAAATAACCTCAGAGCACTGAGTGTAATTATAGCAAGGGAGGCAGAAAGGAGAGTACTTCTCTCTTCCTATAGCTGTTACTCTTCTCTCAGGGGCTGGGTAGATCCTCTGATCACTTTAAGCACAAACCTTTAATTGAGCTAGTATAACAGATAGTCCTAGCATTCATGATTCATTTTAGGGGGCTATTTTTAATTCTATCTGGTGCCCCACCTCTGGGTTTTTGGCATGGAGGAAGCTTTCATTAGTGGTAACAGGTCTTTTGCACTCGGGCAGCTCACCTGGAGCCCTGCAAAGTGCTGTTTATAGCAGAATAACATGGACAATTTGCATCGTCTTCCTTTAAATATGACTGTCCTGAAGATACATTTTTTTCATTTAAGCCTTTGTTGTGGTCTTTCTTTCTCAGAGCCAGTTTGAGAGGTTCTGACCTTGGGCACAACAGAACTTCTCTGGGGAGGAGCAGAGCATCCTAGGATTGCTGAAGACCTGCTAGATCTGTCTTCTGAGGTTCAGAAAGGACCCCTTTGTTTTCTAAACTCCTTCTCAGAGAGGAGTCTACGTGCGGCTGGATCCAATCCTAGTCCCAGACTTGGTCAACGGTTTATGTCTAAAGGATTATATATGTGCAATTAACCCTTTATATTACTTAGATAAGATTTCAAAGTTTAGCATGCTATTAGTCACTTGCTGAGAATCTGTTGTGGCAAGGAGTCTCTCAGCCTCGAGGAGCAGAACCTTAAGGGAGCATCCTCACAAAAGGGGACATCCTGGCGTGCAGCCCTCTGCCATACAGGAGAGCTCAAAGGGCTCTTGGGCTGTCCACTATTTATAGAGTAAGATAATTGACCTATACTCATATTTTCATGGGACTAAAATATCTAGGTCCTCACTCCAGACAGTGTTTTGGCTATGTTGCCAGCCATCCCCCTAAGTCCAGGTGCAAGTTACCGCAACTGATGTTGTGATGGCCATGGTGGCCATGGCCCGAGCGGGACCTGGGGGAGGAAGAAGAGGGGGAAAAACAGGGAGAGCACACTGCCACAGAGGAGCCATGGACAAGAGTTTCTGACACCTTTTTGATACTTGGAAGCTTTTGGAGGCAGATGGGGCAAGTGCTTCTGGTGCTCTGGGTCTCCAAACGCCTTGTTAGCAGGAGGCTGAGCGCCAGTGAGTGCCTGGCTCCGTGGGACCAAATAGGCTGTACTTGGCTCTGAGCACCCATAGCGTCTGCTCATGTGGGTCTGCAAAGCCCCAGGTCACTTTGTGGTCCCCTTGCACACAACAAGGTGTGGGAAGAAGGCAGCTTTGCTCGGTGTATAGGGACAAACTTGGGCCAGAGACAGATGCGACCCAAAACCTCCGCTGCAGCGCTCCCATAGGGAGCAGCGCCACAGTGAAGGGGGTGCATCCAGGTCCAGAGCCCCCCTCCTAAACCTAAATGTGCTCCCTGGAGCACTACTACTGGAAGTAGTAGTGGAAAGTACTGGAAAGAGTCCAGCATAGGGCTACAAAGATGATTCAAGGACTGGAGCATCTCCCTTATGAGGAGAGGCTGAAAGAGCTGGGACTCTTTAGTCTGGAGAGGAGAAGGCTGAGGGGAGACCTTATTAATGCCTACAAGTATCTCAAGGGCGGGCTGAGGGAGGAGGGAACCAGACTCTTTTCAGTAGTTGCCAGTGAGAGGACAAGGGGCAATGGGCACAAGTTGGAACATAAAGGGTTCCACTTGAATATGAGGAAAACCTTTTTCACGGTGAGGGTGACGAAGCCCTGGAACAGGATGCCCAGGGAGGTTGTGGAGTCCCCTTCTCTGGAGATTTTCAAGACCCGCCTGGATGCCGTCCTGAGTGGCATGATCTGACGTGCTCTGGGTGGTCCTGCTTTAGCAGGGGAGTTGGACTAGATGATCTCTATGGTCCCTTCCAACTCTAAAAATTCAGTGAAATTCAGTGAAATCCCCAAATACAAACTCTGCCCTGGCAGAGAAGGGGGGTGGTGGCGGTGCTCCCGGGTGTCCCCTGTCCTTAAGCCCGCAGTGCCACCTGCAGCCCGCCCGGCCTCGGCGCAGCCTCCCCCGCATCCCTTTCCTGCCCAGGGGAAAGCTTCCCTCCCGGTGAATCCTGCCCCTTGGCTCCTCCTTGGGGTATATATATATTTTTTTTGTCTTTTCCGGCATGGAATTATCTCCAGCAGGAGGGGTTAGTGGAGCAAACAGCTGGGAGAGCACACAGTGCTGGCGAGTGAGGAGGCGGCTGAAATACATAAAGGCAATGATGATGGGGATGCTGCTCTGCCCTACAAACACCCCTCCACCTGGGTGGCCGGGACCGGCAAAACTCACTGCAGGTTGTGTGTCTTGAGTTTGGGGTCGGAACGAGTCCCTGCATTGGGGCAGCTGATGCCAGCACACAGGAGACTGCCCCGAGCCTCCCGCAGCATCCATGCACATCCGTGGTGGTGGGGTTGCTTGGATGGGTCTGTCTGTGAGCAGGAAGGTGGGTAGCAAATGAAGGGTCTCACCTGGCTGTACCCATCTCACCTGGCTGCTGGTTTGGTCTCTCTTCTCCTCACTCTGCCCAAGTTTCTGGCTCACGTCTCTCACGCTGGGGTCCCCAGGGTGCCCTGGAGCTTCTCGCAGGCCAGCAGGTGCTCGGGAGCGGTGGCCTGTGCTCTGGGGAGCTGGTGCTGACCCTGGCGCATGGGTCGGTTCTTGTTCCCCCTGTGCAGGAGCTGACTCTGCATCCGTCGACCCCTTGGTGCTGGAGCAGTATGTCGTGGTGGCAGACTACCAGAAGCAGGAGAGCTCCGAGATCAGCTTGTGCGTGGGCCAGTTGGTGGATATCATTGAGAAGAACGAATCAGGTACAGAGAGTTTGTCTTGGTAGAGGGCTTTGGGTCTATTGTGCCACAGAGCAGGGGCAGGAAGAGAAATCCTGTATTGCCAGTGTTTTCCTAATAGGACCTTAAGCAAAACAGCCTCCAGCGCCTCACAGGGATGTCCTTGGATGGTCAGTTGAGGTGGGATGCCTTTTCAGTCTGCAGGCTGTCTGTATGAGCGTGGACAAGACTTCAGGACTGTCTCTAAAGGAGGGGTCTGATTACCCGTGTGCTGAGCACCAGGCGCCGTCCAGCTTTTCCAGTCTACTTTATGCTTCTTCGTGCTGAAAAACTTGGTCGATGGGTCCTGGGACAACTCCTCCCAGAGCTGGCAGGCTTGTTTTGTCGACAGCGGGGGACACTCTCATGGTGCCCATGAAAGCCCCCATTGTGCATCTGCAATTCCTGCCTCCAAACCCGATGGAGCAGCCGGGTGTGGAGCAGGGCAGGCAGCCCAGCCATTTGCTTGCTTCAAAACTTCAGCTCGCTCTTAACCTCTGCAAAGGGATTGAGTCATGTCACGGGCCCAGCTTCTGGAGACTGTTGAAAAGGGGAATTTATTCCCTGAAGTTAATAGAGGTTGCTTGGGGGGGTTTAAAGATAAATTGTGAAAATAGATTTTAAAATTCTGGAAACCCAGTCCCCAGCGGATTAGTTGTACCAGCAGCTGTGTTTGAGAATGGGGAAAATAAAAGCAACCCTGAAGCAAGTGAAACCTATTAGCACAGCCAATTCAAAAGATACAGCAAATAATTTATTTATCAAATGTCAACCTTCATTTTCCCTTCCGTGCAGGTAGCTGCTGATTCCCTCCCCGACAATCTAGTTGTCTTTCTAAATGACTTACTGCTGAGGTTTTGAGCATAATGCTCGGTCTTTATTTTTTTTCCCTCTAAAGACACAAATAGCTTGTGCTTTTAATAACTGAGGAGCACACGTTTATTTTGATTGGACACCCAGGGTGGCCCGGAATTGCTCGTGGCCGCTACGGAGCTGGCTAGGTTTCCACTGGGAGAGCTCATGTTTTAATCCTGCATTTGCTCTTAGCTTTTAAAATTTACTGTTTCCACAAATGTAAAGAAGGCGAGAGCGCAGCAGGAGTCAGCTATTGATTTGCAGACAGTGGATTCATCTCTGCTAATTGGCCTGGGCTTGCTGACCCAGACTGAGGGAAAATGAACCACAAAGGGAAAAAAATGAAAAGCAAATGTGATGGCTGGAGCCATTGAGTTCTCAGAGTCTCTCCTGTGTTTTGTGGGGAAGGAACTGTGCGTTTAGGTAACATTCAGCTGTGGTTCTCCCGTGCTGCTGTCTGTGCTCCCTTTCAGATAGCGCTTGGCTCTGTTGCTTTGGGGCCACCCCAGCCTCCCACGTTGGCAGCAAGGAGGAGGCAAAGCCCCCCAGACTCCATGGTTTGGAGGAAGGGAGTGAGTTTTTGGTTGGTGGGAGCCCTTGGCTGAGCCATCTGCTGTTTTCTTCTCAGGCTGGTGGTTTGTGAGCACATCGGAGGAGCAAGGCTGGGTGCCGGCGACCTGCCTGGAGGCCCAGGATGGTGTTCAGGATGAGTTCTCAATGCAGCCTGATGAAGGTAAGAAGCTGCTGGAGACATCTGCCCCGGCTTCTTCGTGCGGAACTGCAGTGAGTTGCTCTCAGGACTGCTTAGCCTTCCCTGGCTTCGGCAGGGCAGGAGCCCAGGGAAGGACAAACCCACACACGCTCTACAGTCGTGTCTGCCCGTAGTGGTCGTGCCTGCCCAGTGCTCTGCTCCAGCTGTAGCAGGAGTGGGGCAGCTGGATACTGGCAGTGTAACTGCTGGCCTTTCTGCTCCCTCACAGAGGGGTTGAAGGTGACCTCTAGGGAACACCCAGTTTTGCCATCCCAATGCCTCCTTTAGGCCCCAGGGAGCTGTTTTACCTGTGCTGGAGGAGGAGCAAAGCTCAGGTGCTAGGAAAATTCCCTTGTCTTCTAAACCCATGCAGAACAAAGAGCACGCATGAGCTCACATTCTGAGAACAGCAAGGTTGCAACCTTTGCTCAGAGCAATCTGAAACGCCCCTGGAGAATGTGTCCTTCTCATTGACCGCTGGCTGCTCAAAGCAGTGCTGTAGCTGGCTCAGCCCCTCATCTGGGAGGGGATGAAGGTGGGAGGGGAGGCTCAGACTTGGGGAGGCTCAGACTTGGAGAGGCCCCCAGAAGGCTCCAGGCAAGAACAGTCTCTGTGCCACTCTCTCTTGTCAGCCCTGTCTCCACTTGGACCTGAAGTGCCACCTCCTTACATCCTCTCTTGTCCTTCTCCTGCTTCCCCAACATGCTCTTCCCAGTCCCACGGAGATACTGGTCTCTGCCCAGGCACGTTGGCCGCCGTCGGACTCTTGGGGACTTATACACCAGTGGATGGGGTCAAGGTGGACTTCATAGAGGCTTGTTTGGCTGCCCATGTTTTGTGCTTGGAGCCTTGTTGTGTGCATGTTTGTTTGCTTTGCATGTGATGGACCCTGCTTGTATCAGTCCTCAATGTGTGTTGTATATGCTCCTCGGCCTTCCATTAGGCCCACTCATGTCCACCTCTCTTTCCTCTGTCAGCTGTTCCTTCTAACTTTTTGAGGCTTGTTTTGCATACAGAAGCTGGAGGTTTTGCTTTCCCCCAACACACGTGTGCAGACTTCCTGCAACTGCTGCCTTGTTTCCTGTAAGAGTAACTCCTCCGAGCCATGGAGCTGGTGGCTCAGATGGGCTTAGGAGGACAAGAGCCAGCTTGGTTTTGCTGGATGTAACAGGACATTTTCTGCTTTGCCTCACTTGCATGAAGGGTGTGGGAAATCAGGCCCTTTGAGAGACGTGCTCCTCCAAGAGGACAAAGCCAGGAAACATGCATGGTGGGGATAATATGAATGTCCAGAGGTATGGATTTTGGAGGCAGATTTTTCCCCAAAATGGCCTTCGAAATATTGTGGCACTGCTTAAGCACAAGCAATTGATTTCCTGGGTTTCCTGCAGTGAGGACAGGACGAGGTGAGGGAGAGGGGTGGATGGATGGACCTGTTTGCTGACATGTTGCCCGCATGGCTGTTAGGATGTTTCGCTTCCTCTTGAAACATCTGTGTCCCTGCTTACTGTTTGGTCTAGTGGACAGGACATCAGACTCTTCTCCAGGCTCGCCACGTGGCTTTGTCCAGTGCTTTGGGGGACCCAACTGTTGACCAGGGAAGTTCATCTAGAGCTGCTGTTGTAAAGGGGTTTGAGGGCTGCGCATGAGAGCACATCTGGGGAGGGGTGGGTGGTGATACTTCCCTGATGTTTATGGGATTTCTTTCCCTCTGTAGAGGACAGTTCTTCTTTAAAGGCTCTGAGAAAGAAATTTGAACTGAAGTGAGTGCATGGTAGAGCTTTTGTGAAGAGCAGGTGAGAGGAGAGCTGTCATATAAAAGAACCTTTACTCCTAGGGGAGAGGAAGAACTGTTTTAGACAAACTGCTCTTTGGACCAGACTAGCTCACCAAAGCTTACATTTCAAAATGCAGCTGGGTTTTTTTTGAAATAAATTTCACTGGCATTTCTTTTATGAATAGTTGTGTATCTCTGTGTGTTTGCGCCTGTATTACAACAGGAATTATCGTTATATAAAGCACTTAGCTGTTGGTCAACTGAGTCCAGTAAAACAATATCTCTCTGAAGCTGCATTTTCTTTCCAACAGAGGAGAAGTACACCGTTATTTACCCATACACCGCGAGAGACCAGGATGAAATGAACCTGGACAAAGGGGCTGTGGTGGAGGTGATCCAGAAGAACCTGGAGGGCTGGTGGAAAATCAGGTAAAACGTCCCTACCTCTTCCTCTTCCCTGGCAGTGCAGCCGGGGCTGTGCAAAGCAGAGACCTGGTGCGCCTGGGATGTACAGTCCAAAGGCAAGCCCAGGGTATTGGGGAGGGCAGAATACCAGGACTCATTTCTCTCCATCCCTACAAACTAAGGCTAGCTGACGTTCAGGGCTTCAGCCAAGCGTAGCTGTGGTTAAACATCTTTAAAATCCCCCGATTTCCGGTGCTGGGAGGTGGACTGTGTCACAGCATCACATGCCCCAGCAGCGCAAAGGGAACTGGCGTGAGAGCACCAGTGTTAGGTCGTGTGCTGCTGATGGGAAAACCAGTGAGCGTCCTGGAGGCAGGCTGCATCCTCTGGCTCTGTTAGGAGGCTCCTGCAGAGAATGGCCATTGTCCGAGCCAGGTCTGCTCTGTGCAGGGTGTGCTGAGGCCAAAGACTCCAGATCATCCCAAGCTGATACTTGTTTTCTCCTGGAAACTCATTTTCTCTTGTCTGAGGTCTAGCAAATGGCTGGACTCGAGCAGGGTGGGAGCACATGCTGCAATTTTCTTAACCTTATGTTGAACCTGTGGTCTTGGCAGCAAGACCCAGAAAAATGCAAAAAAAAAAGAAAAAGAAAAGCCCCAGAAAAATGTCCATTGACTTTTTAAGCAGAGGAGAGCTGCCATGAGAGCTCTAAAGGCAATTACAAGCTCAGTAGCTGGTGCCATCTGAGCGTAGTGGCTGCAGCCCAGCCAGCGGGGAGAGTCTCTGATGCTGGCGTGGGACCCTCCAGCATGGCAGGGAGACTCAGCGGATGTGGTTTCTCAATCAGATCGTTGGTTTCTCTCCTAAACAGAACAGATTTAGAGCAGGGAAGGGATCCAGGCTGCCGGCACTCAGGCAAAGGGCTTGTGCTTTCTCCAAAGACCAGGTACATCAATCCCAGCAGCAGCTCTCTGGTTTTCCCCTCTGCTTCCCCGGCCAGTGCTCTTCGTTCCTGAACTGGAGCCATTGCTGAGGTGAAAAGGAAATCAGGCTTCGTGCTTTTCCCAGCCCTTGGCCCGCTGGCCGAGGCCGGCTTGCACGGGAGCATTAGTCATGGCTGGAGCTCTCCAGGTGCCCACGTGCCACAGGGCATGACTCCGAGCAAGCTTGTTTTGCCCAGATCCTGCAGTACCTTTAGTCAACACATGTCCTGAGCTGCGGCTCCAGGGATGTCCGATGGCTCAACACCACTCGAGCACAGTAGGTCACTTCTCCAGGAAGGGCTTGTGGTCCAGTCCGGGGACTCTGCACAGTGACGCTGCTGTTGTTGCCACTGCAGGTACCAAGGCCAAGAAGGCTGGGCCCCCGCCTCCTACCTCAAAAAGGGGAATGGAGAGATGTTCTCACAGAAGCTGGGATCAGGCTCCTCCGCTCATTCCTGTGCCTTGGATCTGGATGGCATCTCCCGGCAGCAGGTTGTGGCGAGCCGAGAGAAGGATGGGCTTGCTGGCCAAAGGGACGGGAGGTTCGACAGCCGTCCCCTGCCCAATGCTGACATCCGACGCAGTAAGTGGCCGGTGGGGAGGAGGCTAGTGGTGGCTGGGGTGTCAGTGCAGTCTGTCCTGTAGGCTTTTGGGCAGTGTAACGGGGTGTGAGGGAGACAGAAGGTTTGCAGGTGCTCTGAGCTCTGCAGCAAGGTCCAGAGGTGACATTGCACAGGCTGATGGGACACAAGCACAATGCTGCCCAGGGACCCGGTGAGGATCAGCAAATGTGATGGGGATAAAAGCTTCCCCGTCTCAGACTGGAGATGCTCTCCTCTCAGAAGCAGGGGCTTTTTAATTCCTCTGCAGGTCAGGTCTTCTGGGTCAGGCCTGCAATGATAAAGCAGTTTCATGTGGTGACCTCAGCTGTATTTCTCAGTGGCACTTGATGGTACAAAGCTGATGGGATGCCCTCAAAACCTGGGTGACCCATGGGCAGACAGGTTTCTCCTTCGGCTTCCTTGCCCATGGGGCAGGCTTGGTCTTTTCCTCTCTGATTTGTCTTTCACTTGTCTTTTGTGAACACACGTGTGACCAAAAGCCAGAAACTCAACAGCATCTGAAATTCTTCCTCCACAGAGTCACCAAAGATGAGGCAGAGACCCCCTCCTCGCCGAGATCTCACCATAGTAAGTGCCAGCTGATGTAGGAGAGCAGCAATGACAAAGGGAGTCAGAGAGGAGCACTGAAAGGAGCTCTGGTCGCTGGTTATTCTTTACCTGGGATCTTGCCCCTGTACCATGTGCTCTTCTGTCATTCAAGGCTGGAGTACACGTGCCACCTCCCTGCTGTCTTAAGACTCTTCTTTTTGCATGTGGTCTTTAAATGAACTTTTGGCCAGTCTGTCCCACAAGGCTGGGTTGCCAGTGGGAGGCTGCAGACTGGCTCCCTTCCTCTGGGGAGGAGGACTCTGCTGTCTGCAAGAGCTCTGGCACTGAGCAATTTTCTGCTTAGCCTGGAAATGGTTTGCTGGTTTGTGTTGGTGAGGATGGTGGTGGGCAGAGCAGGTCTCCCTGGCCTGGCCATGCTGGCTTGTGTCTCTGCAGGCTGGTGGGCTGTGCAAGGTGTTGTGTCACACCTTCTGTAGAAACACACTGATGGGTTTTCTTTTTTCTTGTCATAGCCACGTGGTTTGAATCTGCCTAAACCTCCTGTCCCACCTCAAGTGGAAGAGGAATATTACACCATCGCTGACTTCCAGACCACCATCCCTGATGGCATCAGCTTCCAGGCAGGAATGAAAGTAGAGGTGAGACTGTCATCTTCCCTTCTCACATCTTCATGTTAGTGCAGTGCTCCATTGCTCTGGGACCTGTTTCAGGCAGGAGCTCCCTTTCCAGGCAGGGAAGATCTGCTCACCATGGTGTTCTGGGTGGAAACTGGGCATGGTGGTGCTGTGATTGCTTCTGTGGACTGTTAACATCCCAGGGCTCTCCTAGAGTGGGAGAGAAACCTGTATGAACTCATGAGACTTTGGAGTTCCTGGTGCTTTTGGTGGCCTGCTGTCCCCTAAATGTTGGATGCTGTGTTGTCTGAGCTACTGGAAATTAAAACCACATCACAAATTGGAGGTAGAGATGGTGGTTATTTTCTTATGGAGGCCAGGTGTAAAGCTGGAAGCCCTTTCAGAATTGCTTTCCTAGCACACCCACCTTTACTGGCAGAACCCCTCTTGCCCATGTGATTTTGCTTTACAAAATGTAAGCTGTGCCTCTCTGAGAGGATTTTTCCCCTTTACAGCTGTGCCAGTCAGCTTCTCCCGGGTGCTGGCCCCACTTCTGGAGCACACAGGGGCCGGGCAGTGTCTGATCCGTGCAGCGTCGCTGCCACTTGATTGCTCCAACAGTGCCGCGCAGTGGCCACTGCCAGCACCCGGCATCCCCGTCCTCTCTCCTGGGCAGGATCACAGAATCACAGAATGTTCATGGTTAGAAGGGACCTTTGAGATCATCTAGTCCAACCACACACAAAAAAAAAAAAATTAAAAAAATGAAAAATGGTAACAGCTCAACTGCAGCTCCTTGACAGGGCTAATATCATTCCTCAGTCCCATGGCACGCAGGTCCCCTTCCCTGGCAAAGGTCGTTAGCAGGTTCTCCTCCTGTTAGGATACCAGTCCTGTGATTACATGGCTTCTGGTTACCAGGATGGAGAGGCACAAAGGCCATGTGCCACCCTGGCATCATTTCAGGGACACCCAGCATCCCCTCTTGTGCAGAGAGAGCTCCTACATACGTCTGAAGTTTCCTCTCCTTCTGGCAGGTTATTGAGAAGAACCTGAGTGGCTGGTGGTACATTCAGATTGAGGAGAAGGAAGGCTGGGCCCCTGCCACGTTCATTGACAAGTACAAGAAAACCAGCAACGCGTCCAGGCCGAATTTCCTGGCTCCACTACCCAACGAGATGGCCCAGCTCCGGCTCGGTGACACCACAGCTGACAGCAACACCAGCGAAGAAGCAGTGGGACCATGTCGTCCTCTGCCAGAGGCTCCTCCTAATGGTACGGACTGTGGTGGGAAGTGGGCCAAAGACTGGAAGGGGAAGGAGGCTCCCGAGAGTGGGGACCTAGCCTTTGCTGGTGGCTATGAGGAAATTGTGGACCATGACACGGAGGAGAAGCCCAGCCTGCCGCCCAGGAAGGAGTCCATCATTAAATCAGAAGGCGAGTTACTGGAGAGGCAGAGGCCTCCCCCCAAGCCTCCAGGCATGATTTTGCCTATTATCCCACCTAAGCAGTCAATGGCCCCAAAGGACAACAAGAAGCCTGAGCTGAAACCGGAGAAGGGCAAACTCTTCCAGCTGAAAAACGAAATGGGACTGGAATGTGGACACAAGGTGTCAGCCAAGGAGGTGAAGAAGCCAAACCTCCGGCCCATTGTCAAGCCAACCAAGCCAAAAGCTGAGCCCGTGGAGGACAAGCCTGAGCCCATCACCCAGAATCCATTCTTGAAGTCAAGACCTCAGATCAGACCAAAACCCGCTGCAGCCCCCCGAACTGACCCACATCCAGCTGATGATAAACTGGACATTTGCAGCCTGCGAAGCAAGCTTAGACCTGCAAAGTGCCCAGAGAAACCCTCTGAGCAGGACACTGCTGCTGGTGAAAGCTCCTTCAGTAACGCCGTGGTCTCTTCAGAGGCTTCTGGAAGGTTTCAGGAGCGACCAAGTACAGAGAGCAAACCCCTGCCCAAGCTGGAGAGCCAGCCTGTGAAAGAGGTGCTGCCCAAATCTCCCCTGGGCCCAGCAAACACCCCGGGTGCCAGGGAGCCCCCGCCGCAGCGCCCCATTGTGCCACCCCGCAGACCACCACCCCCAAAGAAAACGGGGGGTCCTGCCCCTGGCCCCGTGGCAGAGCTCAGGGCCCCAGCACGGGAAGCGCCCGAAATCAGATCGTCCCCGGTGCCAGGGAGGCCCATGCTGGTTCCTCCAAAAGCCAAGCCATTCCTCTCTGCCTCCATCCAAGAAGAAGCCAAAGTGAAAAGCAGCGTAAGCCCAAAGGTGGTGTCCAAGCCGGTGGAGAGAGGGGAAGCCAGGGAGAGGACCTCAGCCCCCGTCTCCAGTCAGGACATCAGCAGGGAAGCTCTCTATGTGGCAGTGGCGGATTTTGAAGGCGACGAGGAGACCAACAGCTTTAAAGAAGGGACTTTGTTTGAAGTTCGGGAGAAGAACAGCAGCGGCTGGTGGTTTTGCAAGGTCCTGACTGGGGGGACGTGCTGGGAGGGCTGGATCCCTTCCAATTACCTACGGAAGAAGCCATAGCCGCTCCTCTGCTCACATGGCTGGAGGTTCCCTGGTCTCTCACCTGAATATTTAATTAGCAGATTAATTTATAGTTTTCCGTGAGGCTGGCTTTGAAAAAAAAAAAAAAAATAGTAATAGAGATTCCACACATCCCAGTTGGTGCCCATTGGTGGCAGCGTGGAGGAAGCAGCTTGATCTCCCCTGCCCACCTGTGTGCTCCTACTCACCTTCCTCCCCATGTACCCCCCGAGCACTTTGCTCCTATGGCCATGCCAGCAGCCCAGCCATACAGCTGGGGCTGCTCTGGCCAAGCTTTGTGGCGTATGATGGCTACCATGGTTCTCCATGCTGTGGAGATGGACCTTGGTAGACATTTTTGCCACCTGTATGGGGAACTGAAATGGAATTGAAAAGGGAGAAGTGAAGCGTGGCGCGGTACCAGCAAAGGAGATCTCACCTTACAAAAAAGGTTTGCCTTTCCCTGAGGCTCAGGGTCACAGTCAAATGTTGTAGGTCACATTGCTTAGTCCAGGTGTGTAGCCGAGCCACAGGGAAGGTGGCAAAAAGAAGGAATGATCGCAGAGAAACAGGGTCCCTGTAGCTCTGTGCATATGTGCAGGCACAGGCATTGCACCCTGGAAAGGGCTGTCCCTCGCTCCCCGCACCGTGCATACCACAGGACCATCCCTTGGTCCATCCCTGCTCTACGACAAGTGTTGTTAACTTCAACATCCTCCTGGTGGAAAAAAAAAAAATACACAAAAATACACACACACAATGGACATATATAACAGGTCCTCTCTGTGCAGATCCAGGACACTACGCAGGCTTCTCCTGTGCAGTGTTGCAACCAAACAACAAGAGGTGTTTTGCCTCGGTAGCTGAAGAATACTATGCAAGGCACAGAGGACCAAAATGACCCCAAAAGCCCTGAAAAGAGGATGCTTTGCTTTTCTTCCCACACAGTCTGCCCTGCCTGTTGGACTATTAGGGGACCACGCGTTCCCAGGACCCACAGAGCTTCCCCAGGCTGGCGGGCAGCAGCCAGGAGGTGGGTCCTTCAGTAGGTGCTGATATTACCAAGTGCAATCCAGAATGTGGGAGTTCAGCTCCTCACCACAACCAGTTGCGAGGCGTGTCTGGTGCTCAGGGGCTCCCTGCCTTGTTCGTCACCCCGTCTGCCTGTTTTCCAGGTACTTTCCTTTCATCCTGCGTGGCGGGCTGTTTGGGGGGCTTCAGGTCAAGCGGAGCCTGGTGTTTTTCTGTGCTGACATTCCTGCCTGCCAAGCTTAATCTTGCCTGCAGTGTTGCTTATCCCAGCAGGAGGATGAGCTGTCGTTCCCCAGTGCTGCTTTCTTCTCTCTGTACTTGGCTGCTTCCAGATGCAGGGCCCCATTTCTCTCTCCAGAGGAGCTTTAAAACCTGTTCTTCTGTGGGTTTCTTGTTGACCAAGCCCTGGAGCCCTTTCTCGTCTAATTGCAAGTGTGAGCGCTGCAGCCGCAGCTCTACAGCCACGTTGTTTTCCTGCTGAAAACAATTATAGTTTTCCTCTAATTTGAGGCTGGCAGAATTGAAGCAGTGTTGTCCGCCCCCCCCCGAGGCACTCACTTCCTTCTCTGTCCTGTATTTTCTACCCTGGAAACATGGAGTTGGAGGTGTCTCTGTCTGTGTACAGAATGCAAATGGTGGTGCCTCACACCAGGGTTGTTCTGGGAAGGGTGATGGGACAGTTTGTCCCACCTGATCTGATGGAGAAGTCCTGACCATCCCAGTCCAGCCTCATACCCAGAAGCCCCAAGGTTCATTTTTAGCTGTGGGAATTCACACCCCCGGCTCTCCAGCTGATTCCTCTTCCTCCCACCTACAGTTTTCTCTGGTGGCACCATCAGCCTCCCATCAGGCTGACTCACCTGCGCTGGCAATAAGCAATAACATCTGCAACCCAATCCTCTAAGAACGTTCCCTGCGTGGCACATTGCGAGGTGTTGCTGTGCTCCCGGGAGAGTTGCGGGGTGGGCTGGGGGAAAAATGCTGCCCTGTCTCTGTGCATCTCTTGCTCCCGTAAATCCCTTTTGCTTTGGAAAGGAATGGGGACAGGAAGAGTTAAGCCAGAGCTCTCTGGCAGCCAAATCCAGCCCCCAGCATAGCTGGGGAGGGGGCTGGACCTGTGCCCCCCATCCTCTCTGGCAGGGGGTGAAAGTGCTGTGTGCCCTTTCCCCATGGCACTGTGTCCTTGCTCTCTCTTCCTGAATGGCCTTTTAATCTCAGCAGCATCTCTCCTTTCTCTGTCTCAGAGACCTCACTGCCCCCGGCTTTCCTCAGAGGGGACAATGCTATTTCTGTGACCTCCCTACTAAATGAGGGCTATTTCTGCTTTCCTCCCAGACTGAACCTCAGAACTGGTAGTGCTTCATTTTGCTGACACAAGTACTGTATTTGGCTCATTGAGGGCGTGATGGGATCGCTCCCTTGTTCCCAAAGAGCTTCCAAGAAGGCAGGGTGAGTTCCCAAGGTGTGTGTGGGGGGTCACCCTCAGTAGGGTGCTGACACCTGCAGCCTTACTCCTTCCTGCCGCTCTTCCATCTGCGAAGGGACTGCAGGTTGGGCAAGATGCTGTGAGCCATTGGGCTGGCAGGGCTTTGCCCTCCCTTGTCCCACACATGTGTCCCCCCCAGTTTGGCAGCCGTGCTCACCCCCTGCCAGGCTGTGCCTCCTCTCTGTACCTCGCGCATCCAACGCGGCCAAGCTCCCCGACTACCTCTGAGGAGGAGGAGGGCGGCCGGGAGGCTCAGTGCCCTGAGTTTGGCCGCACGGTGCATCACCCCATCAGCCAAAGACCAACCTCCCTCCTTGCCCACCAGCAGCGTGGCCCTGAGGCTGGTGCTTGCAGCAAGGGTTGGGGTGCATCGCCATGGTTTGGGGCAGAAGAGCCAGGTGTCGGGGTTGGGGGGGGGTCCCACAGCTCGGCACATTCCTGGCAGGCTCTCAAAGCCTGCTTGTCCATGTTTCGCTGTATTATGTAGGCGCATTTAAATCTGCATTACTGTGGGCAGGGG